ATTCCCAAACTCTCTAACAGTGTGATCTCTATATGGGTTATTTGATTGTTGTCATATTTATAAAATATATATATATAACTTATACTGTAATTAAGTAGGCTAAAAATGATTAATAAACGCGTCTTTGGAATGTAATTAAATAGCAAGTAACCTACTTTGTTGTCTTGTTCACTATATTTATTTTCATATAAAAGCAACAGAACTTAAATGACATCCAGTTTATTAGCAACACCGTGCACAGGTCCGCCTATGATCTCACAGGTGTCTGGTCCACTGCAAGAAGAGAGATCTAGCTGTCCGTCTTGCCTGCACTTTTTTCACTCCTCCCCTCACTGCAGCCGCCTAGTCTCGCACACATCGCAGGCGAGCATCTCCAACAAGACTAATTTCTTCTCTTACGTGTCAGTCTCTGACGCTGTTGACATGAGCACCACAACGCATGCGTGTGGATCAGACAGCTCTGGCCAATACCACTGAGCCAGCGTTCTGACCTAGAACCCGGAAGCGCTGCTCTGTGTGAACAACGTCAGAGACTGACACTGAAGAGAATAAATTGTTGAATAAAGTAGTTATTTTGTTTTTGTTTTGTGCACACAAAAATTATTTTCGTTGCTACATAAAATTAGGTTGAACCACTGTAGTCACGTGGACTATTTAATGATGTCTTTACTTGCCTCAGACAAAACACCCCTGAAAGAAAAGAAAGTGTTCTGTCAAATAAAACTTTAGGCCTACCTGAAACAAAGTTGTCCTTAACAGCTCCCAAACCGTCCATTTTGATTTATGATATGACATATGCGTTCCCATACTAATAAAAAGCTGTTCCATCATGCATTTCCATGAACAGAAGAACAGCCTCATCAGGATAATGCCGCGTTTTGCGTTTTTAGCTAACCTTGGAGGTCGGCCAGCAAGGTTTTTTGTTTTTGTTTTGTGTGGTGCCATTAGCCAATCAGCGTTGGCTTTACGTCACTTGGCCCCTGAGTCATTAGTCACATGGCATTTAGGTTCAGATGATTGGTTTAAAAACCCAGGCTGCAGAAGTCCGCGACGTTCACATATCGCTTATTTCGTGTCCTGCTGCACCAACTGAGATGAACGCGAATGCGAACTGACCTTTTTCAAGGTATTGCATAACGCCATTTGATTACGTAGTCGTAGACGTCAAATGTTTCTGTTTATATGGCGCTGTGTGTCTTGTTTACCTTAACTTACCTCTTCGCACATGGAAACTCTAATTTGGAAGTGTTTTAATTTGCAAGATATGACGATGCTCTATGGCAATTGTAACACCCATGGACAGCTTCACTGATGATAATGTATTCCAGAGAAAGTCGACAGCGCGCGCCGCGCGGACAGTCTGAGTGACGATAATGTCAGCATCAAGTCTAATGCTCGCTGCTGTTGTGTAGTTAATGTAAAGATTGAATAAGTTTAGCTTTTACACGCTACTCAGTTAGAGGACCGATGTAAACAAAGTTGACGTTTAGGTAGGCTACTACCTCATAACCGCAACTTTTGTCAGAGTCGTGCAACACTATTATTTTGGAGTAACGTTAGCTACTTGGCGCCATCTTCAGACTTAAATGGTTACTGCGACATTTTTAATTTCATAGTAAACGTAGAACTAGAGGCCCATGAGTCTCCATTTAAAGCAACAAAATAATAATAATAATTCGATGAAAACTTAAACGAAAATTAGAAAATGTTGCCATGGGAAATGCCCTTTTAGACCCATTATTAAAATAATAATAAAAATGACAAAAACAGTAAAAAAAAAATTACTGAAACCTAACATTAAAATGAAAACAAAAAATATAAATTAATTAATAATATTAATAAACATAGTATATAAATAGGCTAATAATAAAATAGTACAGAAAACAGTGGAATTTCAAACATGTTTCAGGACGTTTGAAGTTCTGTTTTTTATTATTATTATTATTATTATTGTGGTTCTCATCCATTTCAAAGTGTCCAGATGTTTAGCACTAGTCTAAGTGAGTCAGTAGTGACCTACTTCTGTGTTAAACCACTGACGGGTGTGGTTCTTTCATCAAGGAGCCAGTTTTGGGTTATCTGTCCTGAGCAGAAGCCTTGTCTGGTTTAGTCCAGTCTTTAGTCAGTTGCTCCTTCATATTGCGGCAACCATAGTCTCAATTTAGTCTCTTAAGTTTTCATATAGCCGGCACTCAAATTCGGTGTGAACTACTTTAAACAAAGTATATTTGAACTTTTGGTAGAACCTACAACTAGCATATTTGTCTTCCTTCTAAACATCTGTGCTAGCATAGTTGTCTTATTTCTAAACATCTGTGCTTCTTGGAAACCGCAAACAGTGTCTGTGCTTCAGTCTTAAGTGTCTTTAAGGACCAGATCAACAATGTGAACAAGCCTGAATTATATTTTCCACACTGGATGGACTGAACTTTTGAACAGACTGCCTGAATGTCTCTTTTAGACAGCTAATAAAGTCCCTTTGACAGTCATTCAGTTTTTCTGATCTGATAGATGCGCCATCTGTTGGCTGAATATGGTCAATATATTATAATTATAAGATGCTAATTTGGCCAGACTTTTAATAGTCTTTAACTTTTCACTTTTGCCATTATCCCAACATTATCTAAATCTAAAAAAAAAAAAAAAAAAAAAATCATCAGATTTATAGACCCAATTGTCCCTGTTAATTTGTTTATAATAAAATTAATTCTATTAAAATTGTTATTATTTGATTTATATTGAAGTCTGATTATATGTTGATGTATAATCAGCACATAGTTGTTATGTTTTTAGTAGCTATTCAATATTCTTTTTGTTATTCTTGTGAGTAATTTGCTGCTGAAAAGACATTTTCCATTCCAATTGATGAATTCCATTCAATTCAATGTATTCCACCCAGATATTGTTTCAAAGGGTTGGGTGTTGACCTTGAAAATAACAGTCCAGCAGTCCAAAACATTAATATCCAAGCTGAATCATAAGCGTGGTAATTTTGAAATGTCAATAAGAACATTTCAAAGAACATTGAAAAACAACCACTAAAGATGTAACATTAACTCAAAAAATTGTACAAAAAGATCCTGACAAATTTTGGGCTGAAGTATAAACAAACGTTGTTGACAAAGCTATAAACATTTAAATGAATAAAAAGCCATGCCAACATAATAGACATTATTTATAAAAGTAATTGTGTGCACATCCCACCTTCTGGCAGGTGCAGGACAAAAGGAACTTACTAAAGTGAAAAAAATTGAATGTCCACAACACTGCTTTAAACTCCCATATTCCATATAAATTTAATTTATACATGTCTTTATATTAAATATGGGAGTTTAAAGCAGTGTTGCGGTCATTACATTTTTTTCACTTTAACATAATATACGTTTACATAAAAAGAGATAAAAGAAAGAGATAGCCTAAGAGAGAAAAAAAATGTCATTTGTTTTGTATTAGGGGTGTAACAAAACCCTCATGTCACGATTCGATACATATTACAATCCTGAACTCACGATTATATTATATTCAACATTATATATAGTAGTTTAATGTATACTGACACTAAAACTCTGTAAACTTGAATTATCTCTAACAGTTATTTTTATTTTGGGTGAACTATACACAAAACAGATCCAGACATACTGTTGCATTTTTGTATTGCGATACAATTGGATTGTGACACAATATATTGTTACACCTCTATTTTGTATATACTGTCAAACTTCAAAAGGACAATAAAATATCATAAAATAAGTAGCCCTCCAAGCCTTCTGAAGTCATGCAATAGCTTGGTGTGATTAACAGACTGACATTTTGGTTTCACATCTGCTGCATCTCTCTAATCCTATCATCTCCATCCTGTATATTCAGACAGGAGAACTTTAGTGAAAACTTTTTTTTTTTTGCGTGATGACGTCAAATTTGTCAAGAATGTCAAGATATTAGAATGGAACTACAATTGAAGCCTAGCGCTTCAAGAGAGAGGGGAAATTACCTAGTGTTTTAGGTGTTACTACTCTCACAAATGTATTATATGACTTAAAATGATTTGAAATTTAGTGTATGATTTTTTTTTTTTTTTTTTTATCTTGACATCATGGTTCCTATGAAATGTTTTGAAAAGACCTGTGCAATGATTCTTCAGAATTTCTTCTGCGTTCTACAGAAGTCGTACAAGTTTAGAACAACATGATGGTGAGTAAATTATGAGAGAATTTCCCTTTTTTGGGGTAAACAATCCTTAAATTAACATCCATTCATGACGAAACCAGTAGATGGCGCTGTTGATTAAACTTTAGTATTGAAGCCGTGACGAAGCAAAGGCAGTCTGCCTTTTCTTCTTCCAGAAGAAAGAAAATCTTCTTCTTTAGGGTACATACCTGCAGATAAAAGCTGTCATTGGCAAGAGACCCAATAATAACTGAGAGGGAGGGATGAGATTAAAACCAATGGAAACTAAATTCCAGAATGGCTGGATGCATGTCAAATATGACTGGAAGTTTATGTGACCAAACAAAAAATCAGTGACTTGTTATTTATTGATTTATTTTTCAATTAACCGAAGGTATCACTGTACAATCGGTAAAGATAACAAACACGCGGGCGCCATCTGGTGTGTGATTAGGGTAAAACATCTAATGCGTATGTCATAGCTTAATGTCTTTTTACATGAACGTCTTTTTTTGCATTTTTAAACGAACAAGCTTTTAGCTTGTAAATAAATGTCCTTACTGTATGTTAATTTACAGTAAACACAAATGTTTTTAAGGAAATAACTTAAATGGAAGTTCTGCTGATTTAGAAGCATTGGTCAAATTTGAGAGGGGAAGTGCGTTGTTTTTCAGCAAATAACGTACTGTGGTGTTTTATTTTTGGCCCTGAAAAGATGCTGAGTAATGTGAAGTGTTTCTGTGTAAATTCCTTTGCTCAAGAGTGAAGTTCTGTGTCATTTTCTCTTCTTCTCCTTTTAGTCGCCCCTCCTCCTCCTCTCCCAAAATCTCTCCCGTCTCTGTAAAACAGGATGCTGCTACTTCGTTTGCGGTGCCAACAGCTGAGGTCTGCTTCCTGAGTTTCCCTCCAGCCTATGAGAGTTGCAGGAAAAGAAAGGAAGTGTGTGTTTGTGCGAAGGCAAGGGACATTGTGTAATGTACGTTTGTGAGAGAGAGCAAAAGAAAAAAAGAGAGAGAGACTATGGAATGCTGTGATGTCACCAGCTAAGTCATACACAAAGGCAAGAAGGAAACACAGGCACTCACTCTCCCTCTTACTAAAGTCTGCCGTGGAGCGTCCGCACCCAGCTGTGAGTACATTTTACTTCACACAGGCTTTTTTTCTTCTCTTTCCAACTTTCTTTCCACTTGCCACCATATTTCTCTGTTTCTAGACATTAACTGGAGTCTATTAAATGTGCAGGCAGGCAGACATCAACTCTTTTGTCTCAGTTTCTCAGGACTTTTTTTTTTTTTTTGTAGTTGTAGACCTCTGTCTCTCTTAAAGAGGTCATGGCATGCTAGTTCAGCTGTGGCCAAAATAAGACAATGTTAAAATAGAGCAGAAGTATATTGTGAAAGGAAGGGGGAGCTGCTGACAACAGAAGTAAACTTTCGTTCCTCAGGAATCCCCCAGTCAGGCCTAAAAAGAGCTGGGAAACCATGTGTCTGAGTAAAAATTACACATAGGACCACCAAATATGATGATTCCCCCTTTCTAAAATACAAAAGCAGCTACGACAAAAGTGTGATATCAGCATTATATTAAAGCTGTTCGTTTCATTTAAAATATTCTTTATAGTAATACTAATATTATTTTAAAACTTCTTTGTAATATGTTGTCACTGTATCATATTTTACCTATTGTTAAAGTGATTTTACATGTATAAAGCTTTATAATAATAATAATAATGAATATATTTGTTTTTAAAATAATTGTTTAAATAATTATAAAACTATAAAAAAAATCTAAATAATGTTATGATTTCTGACCAGTCTTAAAAATAGATAATTATATCAATAAATAAATTATATAAAATGCATTAAGTATATTTAATTAATATCTTTAAGGTTAACAGCTCTAAAAATAGATTTTGTAATATTTTATTTAGGTAGTTATTAAAAACATTTTAATCAACGATTTAAAAAAAAAATATTTAAATGTTCCCATACATCCTCTTTGAAAGAAAGAAAGAAAGAAAGAAAGAAAGAAAGAAAGAAAGAAAGAAAGAAAGAAAGAAAGAAAGAAAGAAAGATCAGAACCTTTATTGGCATACTGTTCATTTAACATAACATACAAAAAATCTAAAACTGCACAGGAAGAGAAAGGGCAAACGAACTATTAAAGAGATCAGATTGCTTCCAGATGTTGTAATCTGTCATTCCTTGTGACAGCGTGTCCAGTTGATGGCTGCTGATCAGTGATGAGAGCGTGTGTGTGGTGAACGGACCGAGCTGGGCTTCATCGTCTTTACCACCGTCATCCTCATTCTGAAGGGCTGTTGCTGAATCTCAGGATCTATTCTGGTGCACCACACACACGGCCATGCTGCAGCAGATCTTGAATGATATGTACATCGACCCGGATGTGCTGGATGCTCTGAATGACGAGCAGAAGAAGACGCTCTTCCTGAAGATGCGCGAGGAGCAGGTGCGACGCTGGAAAGAGTGTGAGGAGAAGCTGGAGAGGGAACCACTCAAACCCAAACCAAAGACAGGTGGGAACTAGGTTTATATTGCACCTATGCAATCTAAAATGTATATGTTATGTGATCTGTGCATCTTATTGAAGAGAGTTCTATTATTATTTTTATTCAGAAATTAAACTTGACAGCCCGTAATCAGCATGCATTTTCATGAAATGGGAAAGAAAAAAAAGTGTTTTGTTCAACAGGGAAAAAAGCACGAGGGTGGTAGTGATTATAATAACATTTGATATAACTATTCAAAAATAATAATAATAGTTTTAGACATGCGCCTTTCTGACTGGTTATGTCTCTAAGAGACATACAGTTTACTTATTAGAGGGACAGTCTTTCTGAAGTTAAAGTTCTTATTCACATCACATGGTCATACAGCAATTCAGCAGTATCTGTTTAGATCAAGGCTTTAAAACATCTTGAGGTTTGAATGTGGGACCTTTGAATTGCTAGTGCAGATCTTTAATCAGTGCGTTTACTGTTCCCACATCTGTTGGCCACAGAAAGCTGAAAACATCATTCCAGTCCAGTCTGCTCCTGCTTTTTATTGCTGACTTTAAATGACTTAATATGGTCAGAATCTTAATGTGGCACATGACTCAGTCAGGACAGAATAGCTGAGCTGATAAAACACGGGTCGCCACTGTGGATCTGCAGACTTCATGGGAAAATGTCTTGTGATGTCCGAATAGGCTCGTAGAGGTGGACGCAGATGTTTGGACAACAGAAAGTGCTTTGAAACACAAGAGTAAATATGTTTGAGATGAGAGCTTATTGATGCTTCCACTGGGAACATCTGTCACTGACAGACACAAGACCAGACGAGTTTACAATCCTTTGACCGAGCAGAAGACGTCAATGGAAAATTTGCATGACCAATATCAATAGAAGCTAATATTTGTTAAAGGATCTTTTCAGTGTGACACTGAAACACTGTAAACATCTGGTAAAAAATAATTTACAACATGGGGATTCCCCTTCAATTTCACCACTTAACACTCAAGGGTCTCAGACGTCACACATACGAGACTTGCGTGAGGAGGACAAGTGTCTAAAACTGGCTAAGAGGGAGGAGTAAACAGCTGAGATATGAGAGGAATGCATCTGAGAGATAGAGGGTATCTGTAAAACAGAAAAAGAGCTGGAGAGCAGTGAAAAAGCAAACAAAAGAATGAAAAATAAAACTTTGCATTGCTTGGCTAAAGTTACAGCCTGGTTTAAACTGGTTAGACGTACAGAAAACGTATGGAATTTGGCATTTCAGCTTTGTTACTGGAAGAGCCATAACTTTCATGGACTAAAAAGATCACAGATCTTCCTCAACTAGATTAGTCAATGAAGTAAAACTTAAAAGATTGCCATGAAATGAATGTTTGAAGTGAGGCTTAAGTGTCCAAAAACTCTTTGAGGCCACAGTGTAGTCATTTTCTTGGGTTCATGCAGTAAATAATGTGCAGACGACTGAAATAATTTAGGTTGACATGCGTAACTCCAACAGGAAGTCGTCTTTGGCTAATAACAAAGCAGTTGTTATCAGGTCCCTGAGTTTCAGACCTCTGAGAGACTTACAGAGAGTCCTCTATCTCCTTTAGACGACGACAGCTGTTCTTGCAGGTCAGTGGTTTCCCCAAGACATACTGATTGCCACTGTGCAATCTCTGTCTTATAGACGGGTTCCTGTTAGGAAAGTGGTTAAAATGTCAAAAGTCAATCAAGATTCTGTTACACACCAATACAATGGGATAATAAAATAACAATAAAGAGAGTCTCTGGAGGCTGGCTACACAAGCCAGAGGAAACACTTCTGTTACTGACCCAGTTTTTAGAGCAAGAAAGGAAATTTCAGCCAGGCCAAGTTCCATACCCTCACACACATGACTGCCAACAAAGCAGGAAGTATACAGGAAACACAGGCGTTCAAAACACACTGAGGAGAAAGAGAACGGGAGAATGTGGGGAGGAGACCGATTGTATTTCTGATTATCAATAGTTGTAAACACAATGTTTTGTCTTGTCTTGCAACTTAGTTTTTTTGCTGTTAGTTTTATAACGTCTTACTTTTTTAATGCTACCATTCAAACGTTTGGGGTCAATATGATTTTTCTTTTTGATAATTTTCTTACTTTCGAAAGAAAGTAATTTATCTTTTTTTTTCAGCAAGAATATGCATTAATTTGATAAAAAGTGACAGTAAAGACACTGTAATAACATACTTTCATTTCAAATAAATGATCAGTTTTCACAAAAAAACAAAAAAAAATTAAGCAGCATAATCATTTTCAACTGTGATATATTAAAATTTAGAATATTAAAAAAAATTACATTTCTTGAGCAGCTAATCAGCATATTAGAATAATTTCTGAAGGTTCATTTAGCTTTACCATCACTGGAATAAATTGCATTTTAAAATGAATTAATATAGATAATTAATTATCTAATATAATATATATAGATAGATAGATAGATAGATAGATAGATAGATAGATAGATAGATAGATAGATAGATAGATAGATAGATAGATAGATAGATAGATAGATAGATAGATAGATAGATAGATAGATAGATAGATAATAGATAATACATAATACATATAATTTTGATTAAATAAGTATATGCAGCTTTAGTGAGCATAAGAGACTTCTTTCAAAAACTTCTTAGCGACCCCAAACTGAACGATAGTGTATGTTGTTGGAGAGACCAGGGCTAGAGCATCTAACTATAAGGTGTTGTGTAAAAAGGTCTTCTCCTTTAAATGCTGCATATATAAGATGCTATTTTGTTGTCATCAATGTGGATATAAAAATAATATAATACTACTACCAGTGTTGTAGCACTCGTCTCAAGTCTGAGTCCAAGTATTTTCTATGACCAGTCAAGACCAGATCATTCGACTGCAAGTCTAGGCCGGGTCCAAATCCTCCTGAAAATATGGTCTTGGGACTCTGACTTAAGACGAACTTCAGTACTACAACACTACTACTAATATTAATAAAAAAGGACTGCAGTTTGTTGGCTGCTGCTAAAATATGGAGAATAAATTACCTTTTTCCTTTGAATGCACTGAATGCCTTAAATGTATATAATATATTAGTCTCATTTAATATTTTGTAACCAACATTAGGTTTAACCTGTGCCCAAAATCAATGAGTTACTGGCAGGAATCATTATATACAGTATGTAATAAAACCAGCAAAAACATTGATCAATTACTGAATCCATTTTGTTATGCTAACCTGAGATGTTTGAAAGACAAAAACAAATGGTTGCTATTTCTACTTTGGTTTGTGCTCATTTGCTCATCATTTCACATGGTCCTTTTAGCTCTTACGGCAGTTTTAGGCTGTTTGATTTCATGTTAGTTTTGTCGACTGGGATCACGAGTGTGTCAGTCAGGCTGTTAAACTGGAATCTTGTTGTTTCGCCACAGGGCCTGCAAGAAGAACCAGTTCATCATGGGAGGGTTTTTCTTTTTTTTGTCTCTCTATCATGTCATTTGTAACTAACTCTCAATTTAAATTCCTTTCACTATTTGTTGGAAAGACTTGGCAAGTAGTTCATTAAGGAAATTGCTCCTCATACAAAAATGTGTAGAGATAAAATAGGACGTTTAGATTTATAGATCCAATAAGTATCCTTATACTGTTTTACAACACTTTCTTTTTAACAAAAATGAGTGTTATGGTTGAGTGCATTCAGGAAACAATGCATAAATTATGAAGTATAATAGTACATTTAAATAAGTAAATGATGATCATTCTTTTTTTCTTTCCCTTTGTAAGCTCATAGCAAGAGTGTCAGCTGGCTGCTGGGGCGAGATGGAGACGTACAGGTCATTGTCATCGGAGAGATGGATGAACTCAAGTCCTCCAAGATCATCTATTCAGGTTTTGGGGAGAGAAAAACGGCCAGCGTCCTCAACAATTCACAGTATGGACACAACTTCAGTTTAAACACTGACAAAAACACTGGGGCCTGGTTTCACAGACAGGGCTTAGACCAATAGTAGGCCTTAGTTAAATTAGGACATAAACATGCTTTAGAAAAAAACATGAGACAAAACAATTGACCTGACATATTTCAAGATTTGTATTCACAAGTTTAAGTTGCTTTCAGTTAAAGGTGGGGTAAGCTTTATTTCAAAAACGCTGTTGGACATTGTTGATATTTCAAATCAACCCAAACAAACGCACCCCTCTCTTCATTGCTCTGCCTTCAAAACTCTCCAACCCTAACCGCCCTGCTCCGAGTCGGTCTCAAACCCCGATCCCCCGGCATGCAAGTCCAGTGCACTAACAATGACTCTAAACACCGCATTCTCTAGCAGTCGTCAGAGCGACTCTCACTTGCTGGGCTCCGTTACGCACGCAATCCAAGACTGGATGTCTGTTTATCATAGCAGAAGCGCAACAAAATAATGCTTCACAAAAAGTGCACATGATGAACAAATGACAAAGCACAAAAAATTAACATGCATGCAGAAGAGTTTGTTGTTAGTAGCCAACCGCACAGCAGCTCCAGACAAACAATGACACTCAAACCCAGTGTTACTCGCGTGTGGAGAGGAATCAAAGCAACGTCCGGGTCTGTTTCCAGGCCTTCCCGCTTTGCTCTCTCCAGCACTGGAAAGCTTTTCTAATATTAACACGGGTCTTAAAAGCTGAACCTTAATTTTCCAGTGATATTCTTATAAGCTTTTCTATTTTGTTTTGTCTCATCTCTATTTCTGCAGTCTTTCTTCAAATCTCCCTCTTGCTTGTTCTCTCTCCTCCACCATCATACGTCCCCTAATGCTGATTTGCTACACACATTTGTTGTTGTTCGTGTGTCGGTCCGATTAATTTCCAAACAGCGTTTTTCAAATACCGCTTACCCCACCTTTAAAACAGCTCAAACATGTATTTTAGTCTGGGACTAGGCTGAAGTCTGTGAAACAGGGAAAATGTACATTGTGCTACACCTCAAATAAAAACAAATTATTTTTAATGCATAACAGTTCAGGCCTCAAATATGACATTTGGCCCCCAAGCCCATGGAATTTGAACACCATCTTGTTTAGTTTGATGGTATATTATGCTGAGACAGATCTGATCAGTTTACTGTACCTACTTCTGAAAATCTGAAAGATGTTTTAAAATGTTTTTACTACCCGATCATGCAGTTTCATGAATATTTACAATACGGTTTAAAAATTTGAGGACAGTAAGATTTGTTTTTGCAAGAAGTCTCTTCTGCTCAACAAGGCTGTTTATTTGAGCAAAAAATACCATAAAAGATAGTGTATTATTATTATTAATTTTTTTATTATTATTTTAAAGTGTAATTTATTCCTGTGATGGTAAAGCTGAATTTTCAGCATCATTACTTCAGTCTTCAGTGTCACATGATCCTTCAGAAATCATTCTAATATGAGATTTGCTGCTAAAGAAACATTTGTTCTTTTCAATTTTGGAAACCGTTGTTCTGCTAAATTTGTGAAAACTGTATAAATATAAAGTTCAAAATAACAGCATTTATTAACTATAGAATCTAACTTTTGATCAATGTGCTGCATCCGTGCAGAATAAATTTATTTTCTTTCAAAGAAAAAAATCTTACTCTAACTTTTGAACAGTAGTGTAAATAAATGTAGTTTAAAATTTGTAAAACTTTTTCCTGAACTAATGCAAAACAGAATCTACATGGGGTCTATAAACCTGAGAAAAAAGGGGTTGTAAACTTATGAGCAAAACTGTAAATGATTATTCCAAAGAAATTCCGTCTCAACAGTGTGTCATGAAAACTTGTTTGCTTGTGAAGGGCGTTGATTCATTTGTTGTGCTTCCACGTGTCTTGTCATGTATTCAAGCAACCAGCCCGGCACTTTGAAGAGCAACTTGACAAACCGAACATCAGCAGAACCTGTACGATCAGGACGAGAAAACCTTCCTCCTAAAGCACATTCAGGAGTTCAGCTGAACTTTAAGGTGTGTTCACGTGCAGGTGTTTGTTTACCTCCACGTTTGCTCCACTCTTAAATTGGTGCCACTGTGTTTTCATGTGGCTGTGTGTGCGAGTGTGTGTAGGTGACCTTCCTGTTGCCGCCATTAATCTCGGACACAGCCGAGGGGCAGTGAGACGGACTTTCTCCACAGGGAGAGTCATCGTTCAACAGCCAAATAAATCACAACCTCCATCTCTCCCTCTTTTTGTGCCTTCCTTTCCCCTTTCCTCCTTTTTTCATTCCGTTCTCCTCCATTATTCCTTTTCATCCTTTCAAAAAAGAAACCCTCCCACATGCACCCACCCACCTCTCCATCTCTCACAACAACTCTCTCATTGCTTGGCTCTTTGTGGCTCCATCTCTCTCCTCATGTATCAATATGTCCGTCTATGTGTGGCCAGTTGACGTCCATGACATTTTGAACCGACAGACAGTCCAACTTATGCAGTAACACTGTGTCCTTACCAAGAATGATTCAACAAGTTTCCTACCATGTGAATTTGAACATGAAATTCTTGTGCGACGTGATGAAAACGTATTTGAATTTATATTTAATGCACCGTTATGAAGTGCATGATTTTTGGACCAATTAGAATTCAGAGTGGGTGGGGCCACCCATAATAATACTGTAGAAATAGGTGGGGTTTTTTTTTGGTCACTTGTAGGTTAGAATACAGTATGAAAGTGCAGTGATGTCATCTTTAATTAATGAATGTATGTTTGTGTGTGCATGATCAGGATCTCAGCCCCAAAAGTGTTTTAAAATTGTCTTTCCACGTTTTTCACTTAATATGTGAAGATCTCGCCACCTTCTCTTTCCTGTTATACTAAGGTGGGGGGTGGGAGGGGTGTTCGCACTAGGGTTTCCATGGCAACAATGTGCGCAGCGAACACACTCCTGGGAGAAGATGTGCTGGCCAGTATCACCACACTATGATCCTCTACTTGCTAAACACAAGCATCTGTCCCTGTACCTCGACACATGTGGCTCAATGTTGCCAATTAGTGAAGGGCTGCATGATAGTCACAGAAACACCAGTCCAAACCCATCTGAGGGCTGTCAGATTTTGAACGGATCATGGAGTTGACCGGCTATTATCATTGTCAACTTTTACGATTGCAATGATAAAATGACATGTAGAAGTGTGGGAGAGTTTTTCTCAGTCTTCTTGTTTTCACAGGACAACAGTGACAAAGAGTTAAGGACTCTGCCACCCCCACAGGTGAGTTTTGGTATTACAGCAGATACGATGTTCAACAATGAGTGAGATGTTTTGTCACAAGAGGATACTTAAAAATGAGTGCAGTCTGTTTTTTATTTTCTAAATGTCTTCTCCTAATTCTGCAGATGCCAGTAAATGAAGAAAAGCCATCAGCACCTTTAGATAATGTAAGTACCATGTTTCATATGTTTAGTATAGTAATGTGTAGAGTTGTTTTTAAATACGAATACCTAATCCATAAAAATATGCTGTTAAAAAACATAATAGTAAGAAACTTTTTTTGGACACTATCATGGTATGTACATATAAAATACCATGGTATTACCAATGAGAGTAGAGCAAAATGTTATATTATTTTAAATGTATAATAATTATTATTAAATTATTAAATATATACACCATATATATTTTTTTCTCTTGTATTGAAGCAGGTATAAAAGTTTTGGTACAGGGAATTTGCACTGTTCACAATTTCAAGTCATTTTGCATTATCGCTGGCTCATTGGCCTGATGTGATATGCTATGATCACAGAGATCTCATTTACACCAGAGGCCGCTGGAAAGTCCCAGGATCTAATGGCCACTGTTCATTGATACTGCTGCCATTTAACACAGAGCGAATCAACAGATTGGGATTATTTCTCTGCCCGCTTTCTGTCTGTCTGCCCTTTTCTATTTAGTGAAACAGCTTTTTGAACTAGAAAAAGATGTAGGGCAGGACTTATGCCTCGTTTCCACCAAGCTTTACATGACAGTATTACAATACGATTCGGTACGGTTCGGAATTAGGGTATCATTCACAACTTCTGACAATGGAAACAGCAAAAATTGCGTACTGTACAGCTCGGTCAAAACTGGGCCTTAATTAAAGATTATGAAGGCACATGAATTTTTGCATGGATAAATAATTTATAATACTGCAATATTCCATAAATAAGAATGGCCCATCTTGATTTCATGGTGACTTAAAAAAAAAAAAAAAAAAAAAAAGTAAGAGATATTTATTCTGCACCATTGCGCACTAATATTAGGAAATTATAAATAATTATACCTTATTATATTTAAATTATTTAATTAAAATTTTCTATTAATTTTGTTATGCTGATCATATAATTTGATGTTAAATTAATAAAAAGAAATGCTGATCATATAATTTGATATTTTTATTAACGATATTGTCAGGATTTCTTTTTATTAATTTAACGTGTGTATATATATATATATATATATATATACTCACCTAAAGGATTATTAGGAACACCTGTTCAATTTCTCATTAATGCAATTATCTAATCAACCAATCACATGGCAGTTGCTTCAATGCATTTAGGGGTGTGGTCCTGGTCAAGACAATCTCCTGAACTCCAAACTGAATGTCAGAATGGGAAAGAAAGGTGATTTAAGCAATTGACCGTTCGCAAAAGCCACGCCCCCTAGTTATTGTCACTACGCCCGTCAAACAAATGGTCAAACACGACCAGCGCCACAGATAAAGAGGTATACCCGTGCGTGTCAGTGACCTTTTTTGGAGCAATACCTCTGCGAAATCCTCCAGATCGAGGCACAAGGGGTTACAGTATGCAGTGGAGGGATATATTCAAAACATAAAAATACGCAAGGAAGGAGACACGACTACTATCGAGGCGAATGCTTATACCGGTCTCAAGCGAAATCTGAGAAACCCCATGACATGTAACGTTACCTCAAATACAACCAGCACAGCCTGGAAGAAGATTTTATAAGCTGGTTCAGTGGCTAATTGTTTGGAGTTAGAACTATATGTATAACTCGCGCTGTATATTTAGTAATTTTGCCTCAGATACAGGATTATACATTCGCTTTAACAACCGCTTGCGTGTCATGCTGAATGCGATTTTCGTGTTTAAAAAGTAACTATACATAAGAGACGGAAAGATGCAGATAACCATACGTTATTTCTATTTATTACGATATTGATAACGTTATATGAACTGATGTTGTCAAGTAAGCTTCATGCGTTCCCCGTTGCGAACGTGCACTCCTCTAGTCTAAACTGTTAGTCTACAGGTGCTGCACTGCTAACTAGTTGACTGCTGCTCATTTCCCCCCGAAAATATCATGTTAACAACAACCCTTTAGAAAACGTAGTTCCTTTGTGGATCCTCTTGATCTGCTTTTTCCATGTTTCTTTGACTAATCTCAGTGTCTCAGTCTCACGCATGCTGGACGCGAGTTAACCATGTTCGACACATGTAACTGGGAGTGGGGCAGTCGACACTGTTTTATCCATTGTAGGCACCCCTCACGATGTGTTTTCGGCTTTGGGAATGGAAAGAACAGAACTCCTCCAGACAATCTCTCGGGGTATCTAGTGTCCGATTTACAAACGCCGTGGGCGCACCGCTTCACCTTGCTTGGAGTCAATGTTTGACGGACCTGCTCACATAGTAACGGTTGCTATGATGTGTGATTGGACAATGGCCGTTTTTGGGGAGGGGCTTGCGAACGGTCAATTTTGAGCGTGGCATGGTTGTTGGTGCCAGACGGGCCGGTCTGAGTATTTCACAATCTGCTCAGTTACTGGGATTTTCACGCACAACCATTTCTAGGGTTTACAAAGAATGGTGTGAAAAGGGAAAAACATCCAGTATGCGGCAGTCCTGTGGGCGAAAATGCCTTGTTGATGCTAGAGGTCAGAGGAGAATGGGCCGACTGATTCAAGCTGATAGAAGAGCAACTTTGACTGAAATAACCACTCGTTACAACCGAGGTATGCAGCAAAGCATTTGTGAAGCCACAACACGCATAACCTTGAGGCGGATGGGCTACAATTTGCAAGAGCTTACCAAAATTGGACAGTTGAAGACTTGAAAAATGTTGCCTGGTCTGATGAGTCTCGATTTCTGTTGAGACATTCAGATGGTAGAGTCAGAATTTGGCGTAAACAGAATGAGAACATGGATCCATCATGCCTTGTTACCACTGTGCAGGCTGGTGGTGGTGGTGTAATGGTGTGGGGGATGTTTTCTTGGCACACTTTAGGCCCCTTAGTGCCAATTGGGCATCGTTTAAATGCCACGGCCTACCTGAGCATTGTTTCTGACCATGTCCATCCCTTTATGGCCACCATGTACCCATCCTCTGATGGCTACTTCCAGCAGGATAATGCACCATGTCACAAAGCTCGAATCGTTTCAAATTGGTTTCTTGAACATGACAATAGCCGCGTTTCCACTGCCGGGCCAGGGCCGAGCCGTGCTAGTGCGTGCCAGGGCGAGTCGCGTTTCCACTGTCACTTCCGGGGCTTGATCGGGGGTTACTCGGGGCCAACGGCCAGGATTTCTGGCCCGTCGAATACCTTGGGCCAAAGTGGGCCAGCTCGGGCTAGAGGCGTGCTCAAGGTAGAAGGCGGAGTTTATCGGTGTTATGGAAAGTTATGGTCTGCGGCAAGATGCACATTTCACTTTTTTATATCGCGCAAAATAATCGCTACTTGAAATGGAGAATCTCCTGTACTGGTCTGTCGAAGATACCAGCTCTTCTGAGCATTTGGGCAGAAGAAAGGGTACAACGCCAATTTGACCGCGTGTGAAGAAACAAGGACGTTATAAAATACATCGATTTAGCAAGCAATGCTTCAAGTTCGGAATAAAATTAAAAAATTGCGGGCACAGTATTGTACAAAGCGATTAAAACGCACAATGGACAAAGCGGAGCCCAGAGAAGGAACTTTTCATGGTTCGACTTGATGGACGGTGTGCTGGGTCACCGTCCCTCTGTTAGTGGCGACTCGCGAGACAAGTCGAGACACTATTGCAGCCACGGCCGGTGAGTTAATATACATGCTATCTTCCTAACTTAAAACATAAATAAATTCATAATACCCGCTGAAATGGGTTGGGTTGTATGACGTTTGATTCAGAAAGGCGTGTTAGGGGCGGGGTTTAGGGCAGCGCTGCGGGACTACTGTGGAAACGCGGCTAATGAGTTCACTGTACTAAAATGGCCCCCACAGTCACCAGATCTCAACCCAATAGAGCATCTTTGGGATATGGTGGAACGGGAGCTTCGTGCCCTGAATGTGCATCCCACAAATCTCCATCAACTGCAAGATGCTATCCTATCAATATGGGCCAACATTTCTTGTTTTTTTTTTGTTGTTGTTGTTTTTCCCCACCTCCACCCCCCCTCTTCGGATGACAACTTTATTTATTTATTTATTTTTATTTATGGGCCAACATTTCTAAAGAATGCTTTCAGCACCTTGTTGAATCAATGCCACGTGGAATTAAGGCAGTTCTGAAGGCGAAAGGGGGTCAAACACAGTATTAGTATGGTGTTCCTAATAATCCTTTAGGTGAGTGTGTGTGTGTGTATGTATATATATATATATATATATATATATATAGACTGACAGACAGACACACAATCTAATTTTGTCACGTCACCCACTTGCAGTGTAAACATGGTGCCGGTGCATAGGAATGTCCTCCCCTGAATGTTGGTGGTCTGTTCAGGCGCACTGCTCTGGGTTGAGGGGGGTTGAGGTCAGAGCAGCTGTCCTTGTGCTCTCATCTTGAGATCCTTTTACCCTCAGCTGTCGCTCTCTGCCACTCTGATCACACCTGTTTCAGGCTCTTGATCCTTCCACCCCGCAACAGCTGAACACGACGTGCTTTAAACAGTCTTAGACGAGTGTGCAAGCATTTCGTCCAAGTTTCATGTCCTGTAATTAATATTCATGAGCAACTTGATAATTAGTGTCCCTCCCATTTTTTTATATCAATCTTACACAAAGAGGAATAAAACCCATAATTAAAATATAAAACACATGTAAGCCTGTAATCGATTGAGATTTCTAAAGCATGTATTGCATAATGCGAGGCTTGTATTTTAGGTCGTTTAAAATGCAGACATAGAGGGAACACTGAAGGAGATAATGAAGTACTGCTCTCCGTATGTGGCCTGTGTGTCAGAGTATGAGGACAGGCAGGGTGTGTGTGTGCGCTGCAGGAGGACCTGAGAGAGCCCAGGGGCTGATTTGGGTCCCCGAGTTCTTCAAGAGCAGATGGTTGATAAAGTTGATCAGGGAATTAAAGCGGGCGAGACGGCGTGCCTGTCAGTCACAGATGGATGGGATTGTGGGACTGTCCCTTAGGGTTTGGGCAGGGACCCCTCTTTCCCTCTTTTTCCACTTTCCTCTCTCTTTTCACAACAGATTTATTCCTCAATATTCACAAACTCCTGGGCAGGGCAAGTCCTCACACATCACACGTTTCTTGTTCCATCGTATGTGTGTGTAAACACTAAACACGGTCTGTGCTTGTTACAGTCCTGGGGCCTTATTTATAAAACTGTGCGTAGAATCCTTACTAAAAGTGTACGTGCGGCGGAAAGCCAAAAATGTCGTACGCAAAAAAATATTCAGACTTATAAAACCGTGCGTACGCCAGAACCTGCGCAGAATTCACTTTATAAATCCCAGTCAGCGGAAGATTGTGCGCACAGGCGTCTCCACCCCGAATTAACCATATATGAAGATTATAACGCCTAGTTTTACTATGCATATCCTCATCTGCATATGATTATTCATCCACATGATAACATGTTTAATGGTACAAGACATTAGGAAAATATGAAATACGAATGTGCCGTTACATAACATTAATAAAAATCATTTAGTAGCCCATCCTTCCCTTGTTTTTTAAATAAATAAAATAAAATAGTGCAAAATGCATTTCAGAGAAAGTTTTTCTCAATCTTTTCCACTGGCCAAATAGTATTTTAATTGATTTATATTTTTAATGGAAACAGATAGACCTTATTGTGCTTTATTTGCACGAAACCATTTTCTCAGACAATCTGCTATCATGATAAGCAATTATCTATGTATTTAACACATTAAAACACAGACAGCATGCCAGAGGAAAAGTGTTCAAAAGCATCACATCCACAACAAATATATTTATATTTATTGAATATACAAATGTTGTTACTTCTCAGTAATGATTTCATGTTACTGGCCGTAATTCAGAACACAATTCCAAGAGGATGGCTCTTGGGAATCGAAATCGGCTCATGAGCCAATCATCATCATGAGCAAGGAAATCTTCACGGTCTCTGAAAACACGCTCCCTCCGTAGAGCGTCATTACCAAGGTCTTCTAACAGCGCTAGAGCATCCATTATGATGATATGTTATATACGCGCATACCTTTTTATAGCCCATTCATTACAAAAAAATAGTATTTGCACCTGGTTAAGAATGCTGATAATGATAATTCAGGTTGATGCAATTTGATTTATTGGGTGATGTAATAGGATAATTTAGAAGTTTTTCATTTTAAATAGTTATTGCTATTTGGGCCAGTTGGTGTCGCCAAAACACATACTCTTCTGAAAGAGTGCATACGCACGGTCAAGAGCATCCTTACGGTGCGCACTTATTTACGCCAAGTTTATTTTTTATAAATCCCGATATGTGCGTGGAAAAATGCGTACGCATATTTCTATGCCCATTTTGTGCGTATGCAACGTTTATACATCAGGCCCCAGGCCTGCAATATCTGCTGTCTGGCCACTCCAGAGCTATTTTTAATATTTTTTTTATTTTAGTCTATTTTATTTTAGTAATTTTAGCCATTATAGTTATTATTATTCTTGTTATTCTTTTTTTTTTTTTTTTTTTTAGGTTCTTTTCTTATTTTTTTGTATTGATTTATTTTATTTTATTAATTTCATAAAGGAAAGGTAAGAAATGTCAAATGAACAGCCGGAAGCCATCTTTACATTTCTTAATGTCAAGAGTTCTCATTTATTCCAGAGGTGTAAAATAGCCTAAAATAAAATTAAAATAATGTTTGAGTTTTGACATGAATTTGAGTTTTACAAAAGACCAATTGTTTGGTGTTTTGTTTTTTTGTTTTTTTTACAGACAGACATACAGACCAAAATAGTGCAGTAACGAACAATCTAGTAATTCCATAATTCCAGAAGTGAAATAAAAGTGTTTAAATGTATAGGTGGGTGTGAGTGTGTGTGTATGTATGCATAAGCAAAGTAACCATTTATTATTCATTTGGTGTTGTCTTAAGGTTGTTAATGTTATGTTATTGTTTAGAGCTTAATCTTTCATAGCTCAGGAGAGAATCTCATTGGATTATCTCCTTTGTCTTGGATATTTCTCCCAAGGAATTTTAGGAGGAATATCCGAGACAAATGAGATGCTGTTGACCTAATGTGAATACCATAGACCAGGTCATTTGATGAGATATATTGAAATCTCTGCTCACAGTTTGTGACATTGTGGGGATCTTTTCTGAAACTTTAGAGGCGACATGTGAAATTGCTGTGGTCTGTTTCTCCGGAAAAAAGCTAAAGTTTCCATTTGCTCTGCTTAATCTCATAGCAGTCTATACAATATTAACAAGATCTCATTTGTGTTTTTGTCCTCCCTTTCCTCTATTGAATGTTTTAACAGTGCTCTGTTTACAACTATAGCAGGATACTCAATCCAGTGTGCTACCTTTATAAATGGTTTATTTGTTTCTGTGGCAGGTATCCCATCAGCCTCAGGAGTCCAGAGAGGAGGCTGAGTCAGGACACTCAAAGGATGACTCAGCACTATTGTCCTCAATTTGCTATCGGCCCCATTCGAGATCTTGCCTCCTGACACCCTCAGCTCTCAGCAGACCTGTCTATACAGACACTGAGGACACGACGACCAATCAGCTGTCTGACACCTCGAGACTCCATCCCCAAGACACCCCCAAACCTCAGATCAACAGAGGTGAGAGTCGGGTGTTTATGTATCCTTCCAGTCTCCCATGTGTGTTTGTGTTAATTATTTTTATTTAAATTCAGGGGGAATTTATGCTGATCCATTTTGTGCTGATCTGACCATAAACATGGTTTATTTGACACTGGCATCACACTTACTGTATCTCTCATTGAATCACTGGTTTCCATGACTGATTCAGTGAGATTTCATTTAATTTGAAAATGTTACATAAGGTTAAATGTGGCAAAAAAAATATTTTTAGATGTTTGACCTCAAGAAAATGTCAAGGTCTTATGTCACCTCAAAATAAAAAATAAATGAATTAATTAAATTTAGCTGAAAGAAAATAAAGCTTATTGTAGGACCATTTCAGATTTTTCCTTTGGTTGTTTTCATGAAAATTAAGCACATTTTCCTCCCCAATTGTCATTACATTTTTTTTTTCTATTTTAGTTCATGAGAATATGAATCTTGTTTTGAATTATGGTAGATTGTTAATCTGCTACATTACATTTAATTAAAAAGCATATTTAAAGGCAATGTAGTCCTAATTTCCTTACAGGTCAGGAAATGAGAATCATCATTGAAAATATTAGAATATTAGAAAATATAATATCCACATTTTTTATTTTAGGGTGAAATGAGTCAGACATTTCTTTTCACCCTTCACGAGTTTGATCCATTTGCTTTTGCATAAGAAAATTTCTCTGAAAAGACGAGTCTTTATGATCTGGCATGCCATGGCTGTCTTTGCAACAATAGGAATAGAGAGGGTGAAAGGCAAAAACAAGTGTCTCTGAAATCTCTCAGATTTTCTTTGGCTTCTCATTTGCTCTTCTGGTTTGTCCCAAAAATGATATCTTGCTCATTACAAACAAACAAAAAACACCCAGGATATGATCATTTGTTCTGAACGCTATCCTGGTGTTGTGAACCACCTCAACAGATGTTATGACTTACTCAAAAAGCTCAACTTACGCCATCCAGTGTGTATTATTAAGAATTACACGCAGTTCACTTCTGCCGTTTCTGTTGACTCCCCCTGCTGGACATAAAAGTGAAATGCAGCCTATAAACTCCCCCAAAGCTCTCACAATTACCTAGGCCAGGTAAGGTAATCGAGCACATTTTTGATCTAGAATATTTTTGTTGCTTGTAAAAATAAAACAAATCTCTAGGATATGCTTTTGTGTTCATCTATATGGGCATGTTTAATTTGTGTGAGTGTTTAACTTTGAGAGTGCGTAAGTCACGGGAATGTGTGCGAATAGCGTGTATGTTCATCCTGGCATGTGCGTGAAAGCAACAGCTTCCCACAGCTGCTCGTTTCGTCTCTGCATGCACGCATGTGTGTGTGTGTGTGTGTCCCTTCTCTTCACCTTCAGAGGGAAGGACACACATTCCAGCGCTGCTTCCCGACTCTGGCCCTGGGCGACGCTCGGCCGGAGCTGATAAGTGACAGGGCCCCCAGCCTCCGCTCCGCTCAACCCCCTCCCCACCTCCCCCTGGCAGCCGTGACCCCCCTGCGGCCTGGCTCAGCGCACAGACGTGCTGCTCCGGAATTCTGCCCTCTGCCCCACTTCTAACTCACCCCCCCCCCACCCCCCCTTCACAGAGGTGGGGGCGTTTAAAGAGATAGCGTGCTTTTAAGAGGCGCTGGGCTGTCAGTCTGGCTCATCTGTTCTGTCTACATATGGTGACTGTGAAATTGAAAACATCCCGTTGAATGCGTTCCTGTTTTCAGGGACACACACACATCAGTTATTGACGGGGCAAACAGAGAGCAGTTTTGCTGTTCGGTTCGTTGCAGTCAGGTGCTTTTACAGGCTTTGTCACAAGTGATTGCATGGTGAGGCCGGCAGGGGCAGTTTTGGCCGGTCTGGACCGAGAGTTTGGTTTCAGCTTTTGAGGAGGGGTGATAGCTCTGTGAAAGTGTCTCAGGTTTAGAGGGTTTGTGGGAGCATGGAAAACAGCAAACAGCGGCAAGCGATGAGAGAGAGAAAGGCGTTGTCGTTACACTGGTGTCAGCTAACAGCAGGGAACCTGTGTGTGTGTGAACGTATAGTCACGGACATGCACGCAAACACACGTGTTTGTAGGACACAGAACGGACTACTAGTGGGGTGTGGAAAATGCGGTGGAACAAACAGCTTTAGATCACGAGTGTGACTCTGAGAGTGTGTATGCGTAAGAGCGCTGTGCACGCATGAGTGTCCGCCTCAGTCGTTGGAGCCTATCCAGGGTTTCCGTGGCGACCACACAACACAGTGAGACAATCAGTGGCAGGCCCACGCAGTGCGGCGAGAGGACATTAACACAGGAACCACAGGTCAGGGGCCACGGGGAGGGAGGGAGGGAGGGAGAGAGAGAGGGAGGGAAGGCAGAAAGAAGAAGATAGGGCAGAACTTGAGAAGCAAGTGACTTAGTAAATAAATCTCATGAACCTGTGTCATATTTCACCCCAAAATCCAAAAAAAAATAAGAAATTATATTTTGCTTTTTAATAGTAAAATATTTTTTTTGAAGGACCATTCAACTTGTTTACTTTATTAGTACATTATTTTCCTTATAAATACGCAAAAACTCATTCTGATTACTTTTTAAAGAAATATGTATGCTATTAAACTGAAATAATTTATATTACATTCTTAATTCTTCTTTAAAGCTGATGTTTTGTTATTTAATACTGGGACGTTTCCACTGGCACAGCCACATGTGGGTTCGTGTCTTTGATCAGGTTGTGCGAGCGTTTTTAGGAGAAAGAGTTTGTGTGGGGTAAAATGTGTGTCAGTTTGTGTGTGTAAAGGAGAAGGGGTATATGTGTTTGTGAGAGCGAGCGAAAGAGCGAACGCACTCACACATCTGTGTCCCCTGGGGACGTGGCTAAAAATAAGCAGCTCCTCAAGCCTTCTGGTGTCTGAGCAGCGTCTGTCTGCTCTCCGCCGCCATCCCTGCGGCCCTCCTCTCCTCATCTTCCATCCCTCCATCTCTCAATTACACACACACACACACACAGTATAACCGCACACTCTTACGCACCCATAACCGTGTACACAAACACACACCAACTACACCCAGCTGCGTCCCTGCTCTACTTCCTGCGCCGACGACCTCCGGTCTGGCAGTCTGTAGCCGAGGAAAAAAGAGCCAGAGACACTGAAAAGAGGCTGAAAAAGGGCAGAAGAGAAGTGAAAAACTGAGTGAGGGAAAGGGGCAGAAGAGAGGTGTGGTGTGGGAGAGGACGATTGTGAGAATGTTTTGAAGTTGTCACCTATGAAAACAGACCTTGAAGGTCAAAAGTCCTTGTGTCATCACTCTTACTCCATTTACAGGTGATTTCCGAGTGGTTGCCGCCTCTAAACGGGCGTTTTCTGTGGATGTGGGGTCCGAGGTAGCTGAGGAGAACTGTTCGGGACGAGGACGGGTTGCTCAGCTCATGAAAACTTTCAGCGTGTCCAGTGAGTCTCCGGCCTCCCAAACGCCACCCCGTGCCAACAAACCTCCAATCCCGGAAAAGCCTAACCACTTGAGACTCCGCCCCGCACCCTCTCTCAGGTAATCAGCAAGAGACCAACCCGTGCGCCGCAATCAGGACACCCAGCCAGGGGGCTTCGGTCATCGGCTACATTTGAAGGGTGTGGGTGCTTGGCCTCTCTCAGGAATTTGAGTATTTTAGCTACCAAATTAATGAAAGGTAATGATTTTTTTCAGTATTGCTGCATTTTTCTTTTTTTACATGATATGAGTGATGTGTAAAAAATATCAGCAGGAATGAAACGCCAGTCATATTGCTCTATCACTCGAACATTCGGCAATATTGTTGACCTGGCTGTATCATTAAACTGCACTCAGATGCATATTTACAAGTGCCTTTCTGTTTTAAAGGGTCACATGAAATCTTAATTAACAGTATAAGATTGAGATAACTCCAAAAAAACAAAACAAATCGTGCCTAACCAAATTTAATCAGTCCATCAGTCTGTTATATACTTAATATTTTGCTTCCTCAAAACATGAAGGCCGGAGTGTGTATAAAGGCTGTCACGTTTTAGTGGGGAAATAGTACATGGTCAAATGGTATATATCTGTTTTGGTTTTATTTTTTGGCCAATGCAATATCAGAGTGCAGGGTGGCTAATATAATGCCCATATTTACTGTAAATTACTATTTAATTCTAGCAATTGAGATGTACAGAAAGTTGCTGAATTAAAATGAGTTACTCAGTATTTACTCAATTCACTAAAGATACTAGGAAATTCACTGACAAAGCTACATTTTGGAACTGACACTACTCTGAACAGTCCCAAATATTGGCTAATTAATCAGCCTGGCTGATATATTGGTCTATCAATTCTCTGTTGCTGGTTTCATATGTTTTTTTTTGTTTTTTTTTTTTTTATTCTAGCCAGACCTTTACTTGAAGGTTGTTGGTCTTATATTTAAGTTTTCAATCTTTGGTAATTAGGTCAGTAGGGCAGTGGTCACCTTCATGTAAATTGTTTTCTCACATTCACATTTGCTTGCACTTATTGTTGGGTTTTTTACGTGTTGTGATCTGGAAGAGTTTATATAATTACTCTGTAAGTCTTGAATGTCCTGTCCACACATTCAGGATAAGTGTGGGATATTGCCTCTGTAATAAAATGATCAAACCCCCTTCTGCCTCTGGTTACAATTTTATCCTCTGTGGCTTGACAGGCTTCAGGCTGTGTTTGTTCAACATGTGCTTATGACAAGCATTTACTGGAGTCATCTGAGGTCAAGTCATGTAGCCAAGAACGTTTCATATCCTCTTCAATGCACATTCAGTCAGAATATATAATGGTTTTTGCGCAATAAATTACAGTGCATCATTCATGAAAGAGTTGATGCTTATAAATCATATAGATTGTAAATATTGCACACATCTATAGTATTTTAGCTGCTTCTGGTAGTCAGGTTGTAGAGTGAGCTCTTCTCTTGGATGCCCTCTGCTTGCTGCTCACAATAAAGCAGAGCTAGTTAGAGAAATATGAAAGGCCGACAAGCCAGATGGGAGACTACAATAAAACCGTTTATAGCAAATTAATAGTAAGGGTGTCATCACAGCGCTTTCATAACACAGTGTTTTTAATATAACACCTTAATGTTAGACTTGTGTTGTTTAAAATGTACCCTTTTTGACTTTTTATGCATAATTGGCTGTTCAGAACATTTATGAGCTAGTTTGTGTAGCAATAACATTAGCGACACAGGAATTATCTGAAAACTGGAGAGTGGTATGAATAAGCTTGGTATATATATATAATTGGGTGACATTGTTTGCTGTTAGACCATTGTTAGACCTAACAGAGACTTGTCCAACTTGACCACTTGTCTACTTGCATGACGTATTTCCTCTATTTAGCCCAAGTGTTCAAGTAGCCGTAAAGACTGCAAGTGTGTGTAGAACTTTCGATTACTCGATGGGACACTCTTATAGTCTTGCAAAAAATGCAAGTGTTTACAGCGCTTTTATTTATTATCTTTTCAATACTTTTCATTTTAAAATAAACTTATACATGTCCATTCAGTGATTGCTAAGTAACTAACAAGACACACATTTAAAATTGTGGTGCTTCTAATTAAGTGATAAAAACAGTTGTAAATGTTGTACAAAATAGGCCTACACATACCATACTCATCTTTGCACCAATAAAATGTGCAACACTTTGTTTTTACTACCAACTTATATGTATCTAATTCATTTAAATTACAGTGGAATGTTTTCCTCGACATCTCGTGATTTTGGGGCACATGAGTTCCCGAACATAATGCATGATGGGATACGCTTAGCCTTGAATACCGCTTCGAAGCGGTATTCGAGATAGTGTGGGTTTAGTATGCATTAAGGGCACTGCACTTGGGCATTTTTAAGACATGGGACAGTCTTGCGCACTTACTTCCTGTCGTGTGGGTATTTGGACTAGGCATTAGAATAGAGGAAAGTACTTATGCCTACTATCTGAGCTTTCATTCAGTTTGCCATTGTATCTGGCTGCCAAGTGCCTCTGCTTGATCTTGGTTTTTGTTTTAAGAAAACATGATGGCCATTCAACAGAACTTTTGAAATATTGTGATAGTTCAAAAATGTGAGGCGACATCATCACCTAATTACAATTATGCTTCATCCATGAATAATATCGCAAACTTCAAGCACAAGTGTTTTTGTGGTAGATGTTGTGAGCTACACAAGATTTCTTCTTTCCTAGTGTGTGACATCATCTAGATCTTTAAATGCGTCATTGGCCCTGCGTGAAGGCACACTAGCTCGCTAACCAGTCAAAAGACACAGACAAATGGGAGCTAGTGCCCAGTCCTGCAACAGTGGATGCAACAATAGCATCGGCTGTTCTCCTATGCACAGAGACATCGGTGAGTTGTTTCCAGGCAAGTGTGGGAGGCCCCTGGCAAACAGAACCCGACCCCCACCCTCCCCTACCACTGCAAAGCCTGGCCCCCGCTGTTGGGGTCCTCCGATGAGCAATAAAAAGGGACCGTTGTTGCCGCTGTGGTGGAGGGAAGATGAGATGGACGCTTCTGTTTTTCTCTCCCTGAATCTATCTCCTGATGCCCACAGAAGGGAAAAGAAGAAAGAAAGAGGAAAGGAAGCAAAGCGTGGCGTTCTGGGGCGTTCCGCCTCCCCCCGCCTCTACCCCAGAGGAGCTGTGTTGAGGAAAAGAGAGGGGGCCTGGGCCATGTGATGGGGAGAGCATGCGGACATGGTTCGGCCCCCAGGCAGAGGGAACGGGGTCTGCTGCATGATTAATCTGGCTGAGGGCAGGAGGACCGCCACAGGCCTGCCGCATTAACTCCCTGCTCTCCCTCTACACACACACAAATAAAAAACACACACCCACAGAAAATCTGGGTTGATGGCCAGAATGTGAGCCAGTGTGTCCACCTGCAGCAGAGGCAGGGTTAGTTTGTTTGAAAAGTAGAGCGAGCCTTTGTTTTTGCCACAGGCTCAGTCTCGCCTCTGTCACATGAGAGGCTGCATGCAGGAAGTCACAGGGATGTTTGTGTATTGACATGCTGCTTGGACATGGTCACTGGATGTTAAACTTGTGCCTCGGAGCAGATAAGAAAGTCCCAAAAGATTAAGAATAAGACAAGAAGAGGTCTGTCGAGGATATAGAGATGTCAACTTAGTATTCAGTAAGGTGATCATTTCTGATATGTACTCATTTGTATATGGTGTTTCATTCAGTTCTGTTCTGTGTTAAATAACTTTCATCAAATATAAACTAATATTCATGATTTTCCACAGGTTGGTCTGAAAGCACTTTGTGGTCAGACTAGTTCTCAATGTACATATGCAGCAGTGGAGATCTTTGGTCACTTGCTTGCCAGCGCCAAGCCCAGGCAGACAGAGGGTTAAACTCTTGCAGTCCAGCCGCATTAACTGGAAAGGAATGAAGTGTCAAGCGTGTTCTCACCGCAGCGAAACGGTCGAAACCCTAACCCCCCACCCCCCCAGCAACCTCCCACAGCCGTGACCAAATTATTTCCTAGCCTCTTGAGATTCGCCTCGCCAGACAAAAATCTGCAGCGCAGCCCTGATTCAGTGCACAAACATGCAGCCTCCCTCGTCTCTCAACGCCTCTGTGCCGCCACTTTGAAGAAAATAGGCCTCCTTTTTTTAACGGGCCTCCGTTAGGACAGCTCCGTCTGTTTACACTCGACAGATTTAAATGCTCCCAAAAATGGCACCCACAAACAACTTGGCTTCCTCCATGCGTGAGGGCCAGTTCAAGAGTCTGCTTTTTGTTTGACTTCGCTATCTCTCTCCCTTTGTCAGTTTCGCTTTTCCTCAGGTTTGGACTCAACACATTTTAAGCAAGAATAACCAAAAACTCCAAGTGATAGTAGTTTTGAATTTCAACAGTAGAGGTGGGAAACAGGGTGGTGGTGGGAGGGTGGGGGGTGTAGTAGAGTGAACCCCACCAGTCCGCACAGCCCTGCCAAACTGCTTTAAAAAAAAACTCTGTTTTATTTATAGTGTGCTGTATCCATGGCAACCAAAGAGGTCAGGCAAGCCAGGCCTGTGTTTCACCCTGCTCTGGGGATTAGGATTTCACAGAGGTTTTCTGATGTGTAGAAGGTGGGCTGGAGCTGCTCACCAACTGAACGCCACAGACTAGTGAGAAACTCGAATTCTCTGGAGTCCTGAGGAGAGGCTGGAGATCTGCTGGGGGAATTCTGGGGAGTGAGAGTGGGTGGGGAAGATGGGGGCTCCAGCAGACTTACGGAAATGTAGAGAAGTGTGATGCCAACCTTAATGAGCTGGTCTAGGCTCTGGAGAGCAAGCCGGTAGTGCTCAATTGGAGTTGTTTTTGCTAGTTCTCACTGATACCCAAACCAACTGATACCCAATCCAACTTTAAGGCTGTTGGCAAAAGCAAAGCCATAAATATTTACCACAGAAATTGTTCCAAGTAAGCAAAACATCTAACCTTCTCAGTGTGGACTTCTCAGCAGTTGCAGTCAATTTAAATGGGCTTGCAACAATAGTGTCACAATACACTGGTGAAAAGGGTTCA